CTGGTACGAGTGGCATTGTTTTGGAAGTCCCACTGTGCAACTTGCTCACCAGCATGTGTGATTTTGTACCATGTGACCGGATCGTGCAAAGGGCCTATGATGTCATACAGCCCGCATGTTGATCGCATAAAACACTCTAAAGCATGCACACGATGTCTTAGAATGCAAATTAGTATTAGTTTGCAGTTTCTCAGAAAACTACTGTGTCATATCGTTCATGGTTCAGTTACACTTTTTTCTTGACAACGTTTTTCAATTACTTGTTTAAATAGATTGGCGTCTGTAGAATATATTACCTATTCAGAAACTTCACACGTTATTAATGAAATTGCTTTTCGCTAACTGAAAATAAATTAATTAAAAGAAATAATTTGTGCTCTGTAAACGTGTGTAGAGGCAAGGACATTGGACTAGACCAAATTTTCCATCATAATTCACTGTTTTATCTTTATTTCTTCGGTTTCGAATTGAATCCTGTTCTGTACTTGAGATCCACATACTCGAAAAATTTAGACTATCCAAATTTAATTTTGATAATTAAACGTTTGCTAAGTAAAAGGTTCTATGTGAACGTAATGTTCATTACAGTTTTAATTGAATGATCACACTGAACAGGGTTTCATTCGCTAACTAAATGTAACATCAATTGGTCATGCATCATCTGTCTAATTCACAGTGTGACAGAGTTAAGGAAATTACGGAATAAATTGCAGGGGTTGATGTTATGATTTGGCGGCCAGTCATAAATTGATTGCGCTCCAGACATGCACGAACAGGTGATGAGATTTCTCAGTTTTGCACTCTTATGAGAAAAATTAAAACTTCGAAATTCTATGGAGGTCATTGAAAGCAATACTTTAACTGGTAATTAGCCATTAGTGTTAAAATCCTAATGATGTATCAAACGCATTGCACTCACACTTTCTTTCATCGTTGCCTACCTTTTCCAGAAGAATCTTTTCTGACTCAGGCTCTGCATCGTCCTTTCGGTTCAGGTTTTCTGTCGCTTTCACGAAAGAACACTTTTTTGAATCTTTGTCAAACAACGCGTAGTGACACACAATGGTGGAGCTGCACATTAAAGCGCAACTAAACTCATCGAGAACCTGTGTAGCTATTGTAAAATCTTCCGCTTCATCTACACTTTCTTGAGATGAAATTTTGAAGTATGAAAATCGAAACATCTGCATCTGAACGCAAACAAGACTCGCCAATAAAATAACGTGAATTTGGATGAGTAACGTCATGTTGATTAGAAACGTTTCAACATTAGTTTTGATCAGCTAAGAGAAACACATAAAATAAATAGACACTTTTTAAAGACAACTCAGCATACGAGCCACTCTAGGTTTAATGTCAGAAGTTTTTATGAAACATCTGTTAAGTACTTGAGGGGGTCTCACATCATCTGCATAAATATCACATCGTACTCCCCAAATTGACCAAAATTACAAATTTGTCATTGAAAATAATCTGAATTTAAACTAGGGTCAGTTTGATTACTACTTTAATAAGTGCAGTTAAATTTTGCAATTAGTTTTTTTCGCAAACAGCCCTAAAAGCCGCTTGTGTTTCTGACGACGTGCTGCGATGTTTTGTCTAATTTTTGTCACAGAGTGTAAACTAAAGTAATAGAAGCTGAAAATAATGTGCCGACTGACACCAAGTTCAAAGCTCTCTTTTGACAGCCAATGCTAATGACAAAAACGTTTTCAAGAAGTATCCTTTGAGTTGCGGGCTCTTGTTCGTTCTGCCCGTCTCAGATGAAATTTTAAGTCAAAACGTCTAGTAAGTGTAGGTTAGCGATATGTTATTTTCTGTGAGCAAGGTAAGAGACCTTACAGGAAAAAATACTTTTTTTCAAGTCAGCTGTCAAAGGTGATGCAACTTTAATCTTAGTGGTATTAATGATTCATTTGAGTGATTTTCGCTCTGTCACTATAGGTTAAGTACAAGTACATATGCATTGCGTTTTCAAACATTTTCTTCAGTAGACGTTTAATAAAATTTAAATGTCCGCGAGAGAAAACGGAACAATACCAGGTATTCTTTTTTGCTCACTTCTAAAAGGGCGGTTTCGGCTGAACTAATTTAGGATTTCTTCATCTAAACAGTCCATATTGCAAAAATTTGCAGGGCCGAGTTCTTCTTCGACCAGTTCGATAAATTTATGAACTATTTTACAGCTACTGAATTTCACCAATACAGACATATACTATGGTGGTTTAACGCGACACGCCAAAATCGTATTAAATCGTCTGCAGGTCTATAATTCCAAGCTAACCTCCAAAAAACTAGAACGAATGGACATAACGTTCGTTTGCTCGATAAAGGAAATGAAACGTGAGTGAATTTATATTCCTTGTTAAACATATCTCCTGCTTACAATAGTCACTCCTCTATTGTGGCCCACCTCTACTTCAAAATTTCCTTAAGTTTGCGGAGGGCGGCTATATATTATCTGGCATTGCCGGGTTTACCAGGGGTTAAAATATGCAAAATATGGGGAGAAAAAATATAACAAACGCAGTCAAGCAATTCTGTTAAAAGGTTAACAGAGAAAAACAAAATTAAACGTGTTATTCATCTGGCCCCAGTTTTTCGGTATGTCATGATAGTGTGCTGAATTTGTCTCATCTTTCAGTGTTAAATAACAGATGAAACATGAATAACAACAAAAAAAAAGGATCTGTGAAAAGAAAAAAATGACAATTAACAATTTGGTAGTGGTAATTAGAAGGTTTGCATTCTAAGATCATCTGAAGCGCACAAACCCACCAAAGGTTTTTGTTCATTCATATATGCCCATATTTACACTTTCCTTTGATAAATATTAAAGGATGCACCTACAGTATGGTTCCGTTTTATTAACAAAGCCACAACACGCTTGATCGCGTAGTGGGCATGCCTATCTATACTGTTCGACAAGTGTTGCTATGAGGGCTTTTAAAAAGTACTAAGAATTGTCTCAATGGTCATCTAGCCCAGCTTCTCTACCTTTATTCACTGGTATTTTTCTTAGTTGTGACTTGGGAATATATTTCGCAGTATGTCCAAGACAGCGCGTCGAATGTGTCTCATCTTCCAGCAGTAAATAACAGGGTTTAACGTTGAATTTACAAATAACAACGTAGTCGAAAAAATGAAAAGTACTTTTACACCGGTATTTAAGCCAGAGATTTCAACGACAGCAAAAATACAGAACTGCGGGAAATTACAGAGCAAAAACACCAGATACACGTAAAATGTACCGACTGCAGATTTTCTCAGCCTAGCAGCATTTGCCATTTCGCCATTCTGTGCTACTTGTTGCACTTGTAGGGCATGAATTTGATTTCTGTGGCGCCGTACAGCTAAATAAATCTTGTAGTAAAGCACCGCTGAGAATACGAGGCAAACAACTCCGATAATGGGGACCAATGCTTGGGAAATATCGGTGGAAACCCGCAAGCAAAACAACGAAAACAATGCACTGAACAGCCATATTGAGATTACTACAACAACAACTCGCTTGTGAGTCACAAGTTCCTGGTATCTGAGATGTAGGTGCACAGCCAAGAATCTGTCCCCGCTTAGAGCCATGACTCCGGAAAATGACGCTGCGGAAAATAAATACAAGGTAAAGAGAAACGCGGTTGAGGCAGCATCAGTTGAATTGTCACGCTGCAACCACTTTACCAGTAGCCCAACGTAGAAAGGCTCGCCGAGTAAACCAACACCAAGATCAGAGATAGCAAGACTCAGAAGCAATGCTCTTAGCGGCTTAGGTAACGATGAAGTTTTTCTTAGTGCCTGGATTGTGACGCTGTTGAAGATGATGGCGGTTATAGTAAGGAAAGCGTTGAAGACACAGTTAACAATGTACCATGATCTTAAGTTTTCATATTCCGTACTCGAGGGCTGGTAGAGCAGCGCTTTGCCAAGTAAAGTATTTTTCATCATCTCGTACGTTTTCAATTCGAAAACATGTTCCGGTAAGCTTCTACTGATCGGCAATACTCCACTAAAGAAGTATCCGCTGGAAAATGTTTGGAAAGCTTCGTTCCTAGAAATTTTTCCCTCAAAAGCTGTTTGAAATTATGAAGTCATCAATACAATATAAAATATATATTTTGGGAGTTTCAAATTCCCTGTATCTGCCTACACCAGATGTCTCACATTTCATCTTTTAAAACTGGTAGCTATGTTAAAAGCCGGTACACTTCAGCAACCTAATCATAACTCCATTGAAGAAGTATTCGCTGGAAAATGTTTGGAAAGCTTCGTTAGAAGTTTTTCACTCAAAAGCTATTTGCAATTAGAAAGCCGTCAATGCAAGACAAAATGTATGTTTTGGGAGTTTCAAATTCCTTGTATCTGCTTACACCAGGTGTCTCACATTTCATCTTAGATAGAAATAAGATAGAGATAAGATAGCTTTTTTTAAAAGCTAATTCTAATAAGCTTTTAACTTCATTTGACGTTTTGCCTGACGCATCAAGCAGGACGTCGTTAACTTGTGGCTTGGCTTTACTCTTAATCACGAACAAATCGAATTCTGTGCCTTAATGCATATTTGCCATTGAATGATCAGCTGCAAACCTTTACCACAAATGTAAACAGAACCTTAATTTTCAGTATTTTTTTGTAAATTAGAATACGATGAATTAGGTTCAAACGGCTATCTTTAAAACGGGGAACGGGGAATCGGAGAATGGGAATGGGGAATGGGGAACGGGGAATGGGGAACGGGGAACGGGGAATCTTTAAAATGGGGAATCTTTAA